GATTTCTTCAGCACTTTAAGCCTTATGTCTTCAACGGTATTGCAATAGAAATGAACAGGCCACATTCTGCACCAGTGTGCTGCACCGGAAGTTCATTTTAAAAAACCCTGCTGCTTTAAAGAAAATGAACAAGCAATATGGACTAAACATTCCTGGACACGGCTGGAGAGATTTGCCAGAGATTATGATGACTGGAGAGAAGTTTTCTGCAGTCCAGACTTCACAAGGGGCAAAAGGCACAAGTGGGTACTTTCTATTTTGTAAAAAAAATCCCATCCTCATCAAAAATTTTACAGGGTGCTGCATAGTGGTGACCAGCAATGGCATGTATGTGAAATTGTATACAGCCTGTCTAAAGATGTGAATGCTTCTGAACATAGTTGACAAGGAGATCAGTCATTTACATAGCTTTGTGATTTTGAAACCCACAATGTCGAAAGTAGAGATACCTTTTTATAAAAACAATATCTCAACAGAAAGAAAGACCCGGGATACTCAATAAAAATTCTTTCCATTTGGGAATACACTTGGGTCTCCTGTGTGCAATAGCCGTGCCTAACCCCAGCACCACAAACACAGGTGAATGTAGGTCGGCTGTCCTGCCTGTAACACAAGAAGGATGATGGCAAGTCCGGTGCAACAAACTAAGAAAACTTTTTAAAAACAACAAAAAACTTGATTTTGTCAGATACACTGATATGCCCTAGAGCAGCACTACTGTTTGAATAAATTTTGGCAATTGAAACAAATACCTCCACTCATATTTGTGCAAAAGAAAATAAAGTTGAAACTGTCTATGACAGCCACCGATTGCTGATGAAAAAAGAGGTCGTATTAGACATGCGACCGTCTTATAACAACTTGTACAATGCCATTAAAACGCGGGAAAAATAGCCTGAGAGTCCTTGGAAACTGACAATTTACATTTTTTTTGTGACTTTAATCAATGTTTTTCAGTAAAATCCGCATTAAAAATGTGCTTTTAAATAGACAAAAAAGGTGTTGAACCAAAATTTAAAAATGAGAAAAAAATTGCCCATCAGCCAAAAAAATGTCAATTTCTTCGATTTCATTTTTTTGACGAGCGCCTCACTTCACAACAAGGCCTCACATATATGTTTCAGACCCAGAACCTCTGATACATGATGAACAAGCAGGAAAGTCAAAAAAATTCCTCAAGCAACTCTTGGTCTAGAATGACCCTTGTGGGCCTCGAACCAGCACCCTCTGCTCTGCAGTCCAGCATAAGACCACCAGGACCAATGGAGCACCTGTTTGTGCTTAAGACAAGTTTAAAAGTGTCTTGAAGCATAAAAATAAGTGTCATTACTTAATAGGTGTCCAGCACCCATGTAGTATACGGTGGAACAGAAACGAATATGTTTTTCAAGTTTGAGTATAGAAGCACATCAACATTAAAATGATCATTTAGTGCTAGAAACATAAGACAGATAAACAGAAACATAGGGAGGAAAAGCAAAGAAGTAAGACCTAAAAGTGGAGGCCCTCCAACTACACGCTTGAGAATATCTTTTAACTCTTGTGACATTGACACTTAATTCTACTATTAATCTACGCACAGGAAATTCATAAGTTCATCAGTGCAAAATGTTCCAAAAGCACTCGAACCTAGGCAAAACTACCTCATATAGCAATGAAGCTGTACTTAAACGGGAGTCATAATAGAAGATACTGATGGAAAAAACTTTTATGTATAAACATAAATTTTTCTTTTTAAAATTGAAAACTCTTTTAAAAAAGATAAAATTCCATGCAAGACAGTTGTAAATGACACAGAGAGTCAAAAACCTGGGTCCCATGGCCACATTAATCATGACCAAACTAAAATTACTTCCTACGGAGACAGAACTCCCGATACACTTTCAGTACTTGCTGAGATAAGTTGACATAGAGTAGAAGTTAGTTCACGGCTTATCAGTAAAGCTCCTTATCTCAAGAGTAGTGTAAGTTTCAAGCTTCCAATTGTTCAGTAAAAAAAATACAATTTTGGTAATTGGTCTCTTTGTCTTTGGAGTAGATATATCTTGCATATAGAATATTTATGTAGCAGCACATCATATCTAGTTAGTTTCAACATTAAAGTAATTTATCATAGTTCAAAGCCTTTCCACATTTTGTAAATCTGAAATAAATTAACTGGTAACAGAAAAGACAGTGCATATTATTTCTTTTTTTTTTACAAGGCCCACATTGAAAACACTGAAAGCCCACATAATAATTATTCACTTCATGAACACTGTGAGTCATTAAGGCAAAAACATGATGACCATTTCCAAGAGCTAATACTCATTCCACAGCTGCTGAGCCATTGTCTTGGGAAAAGAAGATTTAAAAAAAACCAATTGGTTTTATTCAGTCCTACATATCCTTTAATTTCTAACTGAACTGTTGGATGTATAATTTTCAGAAATGCCTCCATGAGAATCACAAGAAAATAGTTCTTAAAATAAGAATTAATATATTGCCACAAAGAAAAAAAGATTCAGACAGTTTTTCTCTCTCAATACATCAACAATAGACTCAGGTGAACATGGGATGAGCACAGCAAGCTACAGCTCCAACTATTGTTTCCTCGCAGCTCGATTCAGTTCTTTAGAACTCATGTACTCGGGCTCCTCATCGAAATGTTTGTTCAGCCACTTAAACGTTGGCCTGTCCACCTTCTCAAACGACCAGCACTTCATCATGACCTCGTACACCCCGTCTGGGCACTTCTCCGGCTGCTGCAGACGATTTCCATCCTCGATGAACTTGAGAACCTGAGCAGAAAAAAATAAAATATTCTAGCTACAGGATATTTGTCCAGACTTTAGTGTTACACTGCAAGTCGTGCTTCCTGTAAAAATCAAAAGCAAGAACAATCTACCTGTCAAGTCCTCCCCCTTTCCAATGTTAATTACAGTACAAACATACTTGTGTACCTGTATACAATGATTTTGGTGAAAATATCTGGTTGTTCCATAAACTAAAATGGGCGAACATGCCCCACAAGCCTATCACTTTAGCAACAATATAAAACAGCTCTTTCTTTAAAACTTATTCTAAAATCATCATCATCAAGTGATAGATCTGGAACATAGTGAATCATGGTTCATCATTCATTCCTTAGATCAGATGCTCTAAAAAAAAGCCACACTGTCCTTGTATTTTCCCCTTTATCCATCTGTTTATGCTCTCCAAGTAGGTTGCTCCGAGTCTAATCCTGCCTCAATTACAATTAATATTGGCAGTGAGAGCTAGATATTCAAGGCCTTTATGTCTATTCAAGTGTCTCAGAAACTACATTTGTCTTTTCCTGATTGTTTTTATCACCGAGAGGCCCAAGTGGAGTTCTTCAAGAATATCGAATTTTATTTCCTTTTCTTTCCAAAACAGTCTCAGCAGTCTCCTAAGAAACCATATTTCTGTTGCTCCTATTCTGTGGTATCACAGCGTTGGAGCAACTTTACCTGTATCAGTTGCGGGAGTGGTAGTGAGTGAGTTAATATTAATAGTACAAAGTTCTATCTGACATTTTTGGCCGTTTTTAGTTACCAAGACCATGAGGTCAGAAACCAAATGATCTGCCCTATCACAACGGTAAGATTATTTGGAGCCCTTATCAAAATATTCAAAGAATAGTATTTGAACGAAATTGATGTGAAACTAAATTTTCAACGTCAGATTTCTCAAAACTAAGTACTGAGCAGATAGAACTTTGTGATTCTATGGTTGTGAATAGTCACCTCCACTCCCGTCATGTCTTCATAAGGCAAGGCTGCATACGAGAACATCTCCCAGAGAGTGACCCCGTAGCTCCACACATCGCTAGCGTGGGAGAAATGGCCGTAGTTGACACTCTCTGGTGCATACCTGTGAGAGGACCGGTAGATTAAGGCCAACAAACAAGTTCTACATGGTGGAGTGGGAGGGGTGGGGAACAGAGACTGAGATATGGCGTCAGTGGCCTGGTGCTCTCAGACTCACGACTGTAATGTTGTGGGTTCGAATCCCATCAGTGGCCTGACATTGTGTACTTGAGAAAGGCACTTTACACGAGTTTTCCTCACTTCACCGAGGTGAGAATTGGGTACCCAGCTATAGACAGTGAAAGATCTTGTCAGTTTGTTAGTGTTTTAGCACTTAATCAGCTGCTTGCACTGTCTGTCCCCGCAGAATTATGCAAATTTAGATGGCCAAATCATGCAAGTTACCGTAACACCATTCGCAAAATGTTTTGTACTTTTTCAACAAGAATTTTCATGTTTCATGTACAGAAAATTGAAAACAGAACATATCAGTATAAGTAATTTGTTGTGTATTTGGAAAAAAAACAATACACATTAGTCAGAAAAAAAACAACCAAAAAATATAATCTCTGTAACTTACAGCTGTAGATCTAGATCTATAGAGGAAAGAAAAATGTGTAAAAAAAAAAAAAGGACATCTGGACCTCTGATGATCACCAAAACCAGGGACACCTGTCAAACATGAGGACAACTTTTGACGGATTAAAAAATTGAATATGCTCACAGGAACAAAATCCCTAACCCATAAACATTAACCAAGATCTACCAACAAGGGAAATAACCAACTTGTCACTTAAATTAGACTTATTACGTGGATTACTTCCCTTTAGTCATATGGCGAGGCGTTAATTGTTTTGTGGAAAAAAGGAAAAGAACGTGAAAAAATGCAAATGCGGGGAATCCAAAATTATGCAATGTTGCAGAATTGTGCGAAAAAACGCAGCCACAGCGCGGCCGTACAATCTCATAATCCGACGGGGACAGCACTGTACATTTCCCAGGAATCTGAGAATGTTTCTGAGTATTCTATGATCTGCTGGGGTAATAATATAGTGTAAAGCGCATACAGCTCGTTGTTGAGTTGTGATACGCACTATACAAAATGCATTTTGTTATTATATTGCATCATTATGGGGAGAGACTTATTGAGATGGAAAATTAAATGAAGGGTTCTTTCATGAGTAATTAAAGGTGATCGTCAATGGGTTTTTTTTTTCTATTCTTTTAGTTTAGTTCAAGTAAGAGTTTTATGGCACTTGTAACACAATTAAGTCATAAAAATGCCAAAGATCATAGGTATGACAAGAGTGTAACAAACAAACACAAAAAAGAACGAGGAGAGATAAGGGTGACAGATATTTGATAGGAAAGAAGGTGGATAGGAGAACAATGGTAGACATCCCCTCAGAAATTGTTCCATTTTTACAGCACTTGCAACACAATTAGATAATATAAATGCCAAAGAATAGAGAGGTAAGAGTGAAAACACATAAAATAATGGAGGAGAGATAAGGATGAAAGATGTTTGATAGGAAAGAAGGAGCAAACCACACCAGACCACCCGTCAACCACCTACCCCTAACAAATAGCAGGGGAAAAACAAAAGAAATAGCAGAACGAGAGAAACTTCTAGAGCCTCTATACAAAACTATAAACCATCAATTGACCCACTGAGCACATCTCAGAGTCCTTGAATTGTCTATCACAACAGCTATTCACCGGAGAGGCAGAGTGCAACACACTTACCACTTGATGGGCCATCGCCCTCCCTTGGAGGCTTTGTAATACTCCTTGTCACTGTTCATGGCACGGGACAAACCAAAATCACTGATTTTTATCTAAAAATAGATGCAAAATAAGTAAAACATTAAGAATTTTGGGCATAAAGAGTAAAAAGTTAGTAGGAACAAAAGATTATGCAAAACAAAAACCGCAACCTATCAAACATTTGATTTTTTTGGGTATTGATTCAGTAGGGGCATATGAACCGGCACTTTTTCAAAACAGTATATAATATGTAGATATATTATATATATATATGGGAAAAATAGGATTTTGTCAAACATCTTTGTTTAACCAAACTTACAAATTTTCTCTTCTCCAATTTTTATTCAGCAAGATAATAATAAAAACAAAGTATTGGAAGGTGAAATACAGTCTCCACTCACAGAACCTGTTTTGTTGGGTTTTTTGTTTTCGAATGACCAGCTTCTTAGGCACGGACCATACTGTGTTAATTTTTAAAAATATTAATCTACTGAACTCTGACTATTTTTGTTCTAATAAGCCTATTTCGTAGAAAAACTGACACCCATACAAATAGTCTAATGTCTGTTCTGACATTTAAAAAAATTTTATACGATAGACCAACTAGTTTGAAACGAGAAAGTGGTTTTAAAGTAAAGTCCAAATATTTAGAATTTATCTTAGATAACAAATTGTCTATTTACTAGAAAGTCTAAAACTCATGTAAGAAATCCAAAAAATAGCATTCATGACACCTTTTTTGAGCAAGGCAAAACATTGATCTCAACATTTGTATTATTCGCTATAGGCTGTACCTTGGAAATAAAAAAAAATGTTTTAATTTGAGGCAGGGCTTTTTTGGAAGCAGCTCTGTCAGTGTGGAATTCCTTCCCACTGCATTTAACTCATTCGCTACGCTGAGCCTTGGGGGGCGGCGCAGCTAAAGAGCCGTCACTACGCTAAGCCGCCCCGGGCGGCTCGAGCACCGACCTATAATTCTAGCTTAGATTTTATTCCAATCCACGTATCCATGTTAAAATAAAGGATATAATATAACATTGATATCCGGGTCAAGCGTTTCCACCGAAAATCGGAAGTATAGTTTCACTTTTGAAACGTGATTTCGTAGTTTATGCGACTTTGTTTTATCGCGAAGCCCAAATTATAGCCCAGACACCAGTCTTAGTACTTTTACACAACAAAATGTATCATTATTTTTCTCACTAAAGAAAAGAAGGTCTAGATCTAAATTGTCGAAATATTTTTTTCTCCCCAAAATCACTACTTTTGGGTGAAATTACACAAAAAATACCACTCAAGACACGTACAGGTTTATTCCAAAAGCAATTCTGAATAATTCCATATAAGATACGTGAGTTTTTTTCTGTTTGTGAATGCATCTTGTCCTTTTTTCAAGAACATAAAATTTGATTTTATTTTTTTTCAATATCGGATGTTAGGATCCAAATGTACACATTTTTTGGAATGTGAGCAAATAACTGCAAATTTTTCAATATTTTCCAGTTCTATATTCATTTATGGTTATTTTGATGTATCGTTTGACAAGGTGCAAACATATTTTTTGAGTTTCACCAAAGATTATTTGTTTTTTATTTTCAAATTTTTGTCTGCATCCAGGCAAAATTGTGTTGCATAATCGCCTCTTACAGGAACCAAAGTTGAAAAATACACAAATAAATATTACAGATTATAATGATATCCATAATCCACCACAGTTGCTTGTCCATTATATCATCAGTTGTTTCCCTTTCATTGTAAATACTGAGCTAAACACTGAATGGATGGCCTGCATACAAAGAAAACGTTCAACTAGCTGCCAGAAACTTGTACGATATCAGAAGTGAGCTGAGTGTGCAAGGCGGGCTACTGTTGAGAGAGAAAAGAATAGTCGTCCCATTAGAGATGAGAAAAGAGGTTCTTGAGAAGATTCACCACGGTCATATGGGAATAGCTAAATGCAGAGAGACCACAAATTGGGAAAGACATAAAGGAAAGAGTGGCAAATTATCGACAGTGCTTGGAAGAGAGAGCATCCCATCCCAAAGAGCCTCTGCTTCCAACGCCACTTCCCAACAGGCCATTTGAGAAGGTAGCACTTGACCTGTTTGAACTGAAAGGTCGGTCGTTCGTTGTGGTCACCGACTACTATTCACGTTATCCAGAAATTGGGTACTTGCCCAACCAGAAAGCCTCAACGTTAGTCACAAAACTGAAAATCATCTTTGCGAGACACGGCATCCCAGAGACAGTAGTCAGTGACAATCAGACCAATCTTACATCACACGATTTGCCCAAAACTGGGGTTTCCAGCATATTACCAGTTCCCCACACTTTCCATCTGGGAACGGAGCGGCAGAGTGCAGAGTCAAACTGTCCAAGCGCCTGTTAAGGCAAGAAGACTACGCTCTGGCATTGTTGACGTACAGAGCTACGTCAATACCAGGACTGGGGGCTAGCCCGGCAGAGCTAGCGATGGGGAGGAAAATGAAGACGACACTCCCAACACTTCCCACAGTCTTACAGCCTCGCGCAGTCAACACGCATCTGCTGCGCGAAAAGGACAGAGTCTACAAGCAGAAACAAAAGTCCTACCATGACAGACACTTCGGAGCTCGGGCCTTGTCTGAGCTTAGACCAGGTGATCCGGTTTTCATCAAACTGGACGGACAACAGGGTTGGAAGCAGCCAGCCAAGGTTGTAAAGCAGTGTGCACCTAGGTCTTACCTAGTAAAGACGGCAGCAGGCGGCGTGCTTAGGCAGAATCGGCGCCATCTTCTGCGCCAACCAGAGGGAGGCGACAGTCTGAGGTCGCCGTACATCCAGTTTCCAGCATCGGAGTCCTCGGAGGTCTACCAATCTCTGATTTCTACGCATGCTGATCCAGTCCTACCTCCAAATCCTGGGAGTAACAGTGGAGGCCCTCCAGAGCAGCCTCCACCATCTCCATCATCGCACTTGTCCATGGAGCCAGTGATGTCACAAATGCAGAATCAGCAGGCGACATCTACAACTGCAGTGGCAGCACCGCAAGTCAGCAGAAGCGGCAGAGCCATCGTTAAGCCAGCACGTTACCGTGACGAATGATATGAAACTCATGGACTGTTTCTCAAAGCCAATGTGTAGCTAGATTGTGCTTTGAGCTAGTATTGTGTTGATGTGTTCGTTTGTTTTTCTTTTTCACTCTAATCAAAATAGAGAACAGTAGACTGTTCGTTAGGAATTTGTGTTTCCAAATGGCCTTTTTCTGGTGAGCAACACCCTGAATGTGTAGGCTGATCTCACCTGATTTAAGTTGCTGTGTAGACTAGCAACAGTTATAGGTTTGTTTTACTATATATTTTTTTTCTGGTGGATTACAAGTTACTTTTACAGGAAGGACCTTATTTTCCAACACTTCAGTTGCCTAAAAAGACCGCTTCAGCCAGGGTGGATTTAAAGTATAAACCGTCATAAGAAGTAAAAACTACATTTTAGCCCACATGTGAATAAGACATTGTTCCCTTGCAAATTTTAATTTAACGTCATTTTAGAAACTAAAAGGGGAGATGTAATGATATGGGACATAATCCATAATCCACCACAGTTGCTTGTCCATTATATTATCAGTTGTTTCCCTTTCATTGTAAACACTCCATGAGCAGTTCTCACATTGTCTTGAGATTTAGGGGTTCTGGGAACAAAGGTTCTGGGGGGTATATAAAGCTTTGTCTGTGTCTCTAAGTTTTTTTTGGGTCATTTCACTGGTGAAGTGGACCTTGCTACACAGATGTATTCTACAAACCATACTGAAAAATTTGGTATATTATATGTAGACATTTAATTGAAATTGTGGCCCCAAAGACCTTTGAACTGCGCACTATCATCATCTCATTTCGCCCTCCCGAAAAAATTTTTGTCCACAAGCCGAAAATAATACGTAGCGAATGAGTTAAGAGAGGCTCCTACACTGACAGCCTCAAGACACATGTATTTATATCCTACTTTACAAGCTGGTTTGATTCTTCTTCAAAACAAAAGGCATGATCAGCAGCCATGGTGTGCTTTTGTCAAATTTGGTATATTATGGGTGCATATGTATTTGAAAGGACTTTTGAACAATGAATTTGTTGGTATGCATGAAGTGTGTCATTGTGTAAGCTATCAAAATTTTCGTTTAATGTGAAATGCCTAGAGCCACCAGGAAAAGGGTGCTGTAGCAGTGATCTTTACTACATTTATAGCATTATCACTTATTGTAAATATTTATCCAGTTCCGGACTAAATTAATGACAAAATACTCCGCGTATGTTACGAAGAACTCACATGATGTATGTTCCGCAGGAGTATGTTCCGAGCTGCCAGATCTCGATGGACCAGATGTTTGGTCTCCAGGTACTTCATGCCCTCCGCAATCTGTGCCGCCCACACGTAGAGCTCCTGCTTCACACGCACATTCTGTGGGTAGTCCTCTAAATAGGACAACATGGAGCCCATGGGAACAAACTCCTCTACCTGTATAAGATAGTTTAGTCCCATTTTAAAAATAAAAAGCAAATCCATATCAAGACAGTCCTGTGATGTTGGGGAAAGAGTAAGTCAGTTTGAGTAAACGAGAAGCTCATAGAAATGACAAGTTACTTAGTGTGGGGAAAGTGCAAGACATACAGACAGATACATCAAAGGGAAAGTAAAGAAGTGGGAAGAGTCATGGTTTTGCTTATCAATTGAAGAGAAGAGCAAGATACACAAAAACAAGACAAGAAGAGTCAAGAGAACAGGTTGTTTCATCTCCAAGGACTCTAATCAAGTAAACATTCATATCACTAGATAAACCATTTTACTGAGAGTCAGACCTACAGATAGTCATTCTGCTGATAGTCAGACCTATCACTGGCATCCTCCAACCACTTGCCTCACATAGGACGAGATAAGAACATTTGAGGACTCCAATGGACCAACTGGCAATGTCACAAAATTAAAAAACATCCGGTTATCTATTTTAACTCTTTGAACTCATCGGACACTGAGAGCGTAACCTTGTTCCCCATCGGACGCAGTGACAACTGCTTCGTTTTATTTAGTGCTAGTTTTTGAGAACTATTCCCGAACCAAATCTTTTAGTAATGACTAAGCCTTTGTTTCTGCTATTAGAAGTTGGAGGCAACCTTTTGGGGTTATAATGAGACAAAGTACATCAGGTTTAGGTGACTGTAGAAAAAAACTCCGGGAAACGGTGGAAAAAACTCAGGGCTTAAAGAGTTAAAAGCTTGTAGACTCATGATTTCATTTCTGTATTACTGAGGGTCTATTATTTTTGTTAGCTGAACGGGATACCGAACAAAAATAATAAACCGACAGCAGTGCTTCCAACAAATCAAAAAAGTAGGGAAAATTCTGTCAGGGTCTGGGAGCTGCATCTAAAACTTTTTTTCTCATGATTTTTATTTTGTGACTTTCCCTGTTTTTTTTTTCTCTTTGAAAACACATATGGGGAAGAAATGAGTGAAACAGTGCATCTTTAGGAGGTGGGAAGAAAGCATTGGCGATGGATCGGACACACTTTCAGGAAGTCAAGCAGTTGCATAACAAGGAAAGTGTTAAATTGGAACCCACAAGGTAAAAGATCAAGGGGAAGACCACATGGAACCTGGAGAAGAGTCACCATCAAGCGACTAGCCCACGATAGGGAAAGGTGGAAAGTGTTTGTTCGTGGCCTATATCCTGATCCAGGGAGAGAAAAGCAACGATGATGATGATGCACCTTTAACTTTTTATCCTGTACCCGTCCTGGGGCCGCCGCCCCAAAAGAGTGGGAATTCAGACTGTACATTTCAAAGTGCTGTATTTCTAATATTTACTCTTAGGTTTTAAGGAAATTTGGCAGTTATGTTAAAAATTGAAAGTAGTTTTTTATAAATGTATGTGGTTAGGAATGACACCTATTGCACCATGTAAATTTTGAGGTGTATTTCACCCTCCAACTTGACCCTGATTGCCGCGCCCACGACATCTCCTTGGATTTATAGATCTACCCCTACCCATCGGTACTGCACGAATTCCAGTACTGACCCCTTCACCGTGATCTGAATCGCTATTAGATAGTCTAATTCCTGTTCGTTATCACCCACAACGGAATTTATGGCACTTGATTCAGAGTCATTTTCGTAAAGTTAGTCTCATTCTCCCTCACAACCCAGCACGACTTCAAGAAGTACTTCATCGGTCGTGAACGAGGGTTTTTGTGACATCTTTCAAGCTTCTACACCCATCATAAACAAAGAAATCGCTGTTCATAGGAAAATTTAAATATTCAGAGAGAGTTAGCATCGTGATATTTGCGTATTTTGGTAATTACAAGCAGAACTAGCTGTTTGACGTGACCGTATAGCTGTTCCGAGTTTACTCGTAGCCAGGAGTGGTCCTCATAGCCCAGATAAAAAGAGTTAACCCCCCCATCTCTGAAAGGACTGAGCTAAAAAGGAAAATCTGAGTAAAGTGCCTTTGTCAAGGACACATGGTCAGGCTGTACTGAGCCTTCAGTCTCTGAACCTGCAATCTCAAAATTACGAGTCTGGAAGCCTAACCACTTGACTACCGACCAACATTACTTGGAAGACCATGGAAGTCATGGCGGCATAAAACTTATAACATTCCCTCCTTGTCAGGACTTCTGAAGAGTTTTCATTTTGAAAAGGTCAACGAGCCAAAGTGGGTAAAAGTTAATTCTAACTCAACTTGCTTCATAAAATGGAGATACAGTCGAACCTGCCCTGACGGCCTCCTCTATAAGACGGCCCCCTGTACAAACGGCCACTTTCCATTTCCCCCCTTGCATTTTTTCTACATAATTTAACTGCGTAAAACGGGCACCTGTCCGACGCGGCCACGGCCACCATACCTTAACACACAATCCCTATCACACTAAGCAATAACACCTGTCTTAGACGGCCACCTTAGTGACTTCATTACGTTTTGTCATAAATTGTGCATTGGCCCCTGGCGTTGTGGGTGAGCCGTCATGATCCAATCACCTGTCGTTATTGTTAGGTAGTCCCTCCATCCGATCATGTTGCGTTGGCCCCTCCCACTGTTGACCAATAGGTAACAAATTTTCAACTGCTGTTGAGGTAAGCGTGAGATCCTTCATAGCCCATAAGCCCTGCCCAAAACTCATACACAAATCGTAAGTGAGGTGAGTGGTCACTGTTTACCCAGTCTGTAACAAAGTAACAATGGACGTCAACATGAACTTGTGACAGAAGCGTTGCTCGTTCTGCGAGTGGGGGCGACCCATGTGTTTGTTTTACCATAGCACTCGGTCCTCCTTGTCTGACACATTTCGTTTTATTGTCGCCCATGCACAAAAGCAGCAACAACAACAACAACAAAAAAACGAAAAAAACAAACAAGCAAAAACAACAACAACAACAATGTTGGGACCTCAGAAAGGGATGGTTTGTTTTCTTCATACTGATCAGTCCTGCCTAAAACGGCCACCTGTCTTATATGGCCACATTCCTCCTTGACATTGTGTGGCCGTCTTACACAGGTTCGACTGTATAAACATAGCAATCCTGTGAGAACGAGGACAGAGCAGCCCCCTAATAAGGCAGGCGCCCACCACAATACCATAATTCTGATGAGAGTGCAAACAAGTAACAGACCATTGACCTGCACTTAGCAGAGCTTTCAACCACTCCATGACCAAATATGGGAGTTTTCCTCCAACTTCACTAAAAATCCAAGTTTAGGGGGGGGTATCCAGAACCCCAGTAGATTCAGGCAACGTCACAAAAATGAGAGTAGCAAATAAACATATATTATAGTAAATACAAGCAAATAAAAGCTTTAAAAAAAGTGAAATTTCACTTCTATTGCAAATAAACCAGTGTATTTCCACGTCATTTAATAATAAATTGCATTCTACTGCGAAAACTGAATTCAAGAAAAAAATTGGATTTTACGCAAATTTAATGAGGGCTTTTACCAGGAACCCCCCTCCCCCCCCCCAAAAAAAAATATCGAATTCTCCGATTTATTGGAGAACTTGCAAGGTCTGTGGTGTTATCTCGAGCCATTCAGCTCCTGAACCTACCAACATAAGTGGCGAACCGTAGCAAACACCGAGCAGACGGACGATGAAGTCGTCCTTCAGGGACTGCATTACGTGAGCTTCCTGGTTAAAATCTTCCAAGTTGCCCACGGCATGGAATGTCTTGATGGCCACTTCAATCTGTGGTAAGATCGAGTTTTAGTTAGAGTAAAGGGAAGCACATTGGCATGACAAGGGTCATTAAGTGCAGGTAAAAAGTACAACAGACAGGCAGAAACTAGAAGAAGAAAAAAAGGAGTAGGACCAACTAGTGATGCGCTCCAATCACTGGCTAGTTAGAAAGAAACAAATTATGAATTTAAAAAATCACAAATTCAGTTCACTGCACTAGCTAATCACTAATCAAACTAAACAGCTCTCAAGTATCAGTTGGCTTTTTTCAGTATGCAGTCTTTCAGCTGACAAACATATCGTCATGCCCATTTTTCAGCATTTTGAGAAAAATAACAAAAATCTTTGCACTTACAAAACAAACACAACACATAATAATTTTCATTAAATATTTTTTTGGTTTTATTAAAATCTATTCTTTAAAACAACTTTTGACAGACACTTGGGGAAATAATCAAAATATCTAGGTGTGGCTGTAGCTCAGTTAGTCCCAAAAATGACTTAGGCAAGTATGAGTGTGACAGTGTGTATTATCCACTGGTATGTGAAGCCTCAAGCCCTTTTACTGGGACCAAAACACTGCTGTGCGAAGTAATGGAGAATACAGTGAATATAAGCAGATTAAGAGAGGAGTGAGGCAAGGATGTGTTATGTCACCAGACCTCTTTAACATGTACAGCAAAACGATCCTTAGAAAAACAGAAGAATGTCCGGGTCTCAAAGGCAATGGAGAAAATATTAATAACACGAGATATGCAAATGACACAGATGTAATAGCAGGCTCAGAAAAGGACCTTCCACTACTTTCTAGATACTGTTGCAACAGAAAGTGAACGCAAAGGATTAGTGTTGAATGTAAAGAAAACAGAATGCATGGTAATATCAGTGCTTTCACCAGCTGAAGCTGAAAAGTAAGGAAAATTCTGTCCCCCAGCAGGGTCCAGGGACAGAAGAAATTGAAACTTAGGGCTGTTAGAGGGTTAAAAATGGCATTTGGGAGCCTGTTTGAAGAGATTGCCTCCAACCCATAACATTTATTTGTTCACCAACATTTGGTCTTGTTTGATTTTTTCACCTACTACATATCTTTCCATTGCTGGCAATGTTTAAAAGCAGGTTCCCATTCCATTGCTACTATAATTTAATTAATATGTCATCGCACGATTGACAGAAGGCAAACCTGGGAATAATGAATAGAGATATGTACCTTCACAATACAGTTACCCAGCATATACCCTAATTTTCCACAATTTTCACTTCTGAATGTTGCATGTCACAACCTCGGAACACCACTGAGAATCATTCTTGATTTTAGAAGTTTAAGCATGATTTATTTCATCGCGGCCCTTATCGCGTTCCTGCGCAGTAAAATCTTTGCATTAATAATTTCTCTAGAACTAGACAACAAATTTGCAAACAAGTTTCTTTCTGACAGTAATTTCCTGTCTAAGACCACAAGTCAATTTACTTGATCAACGCGCAGATTTTCCTGCCACGGAAACAGTCCGAAGATAGACAGACGGAAGGAGTGAATGAATGATAGAAAGGAGGAAATCGACACAAAAAGTTTGCCAGATTTTGATCAATTTGCAGGTAAAAAACGTACTGCCGACCAACCCGCAATGAACGCATGGGGCATAGTGGAATAATGGCCAATTGCAGGAAATGCGTAATCTGGCTGGTCTCTATAACATTAACTTATTGCCGAGAGAATTACCGTACGAAGGCGAGTACGGATCTTTTGCTATGGAATTTCAGTAGATATCTAGTCTTACGCTATCGCAGTTTTTTTTAACGGAGGGAGTTGATAATGATGGAGGAACAAGTACAGAACTGGCAGAAAGTACGGATTTCCGTAAAAATACGGAAGAGTGGAAGCACTGTAATATACAAAAAAGCAGCAAATCCTAGTTGTAATCTCATTAGCAAAGGTGAAAAGACCAAAAAAGTCCAACAGTTTAAATATCTAGGATATATGATAACATCTGATGCCAAATGTTCCACAGAAATAAAACGGAGAATTACAATGGCTAAGGCTAGTTTCAATAAAATGAGCCCAATCCTGAAAAATAGAAACATCTCAATGACTACAAAAATGAAAGTTCTGAAATGCTATGTATGGTCAACCCTTCTATATGGCTTTGAATGCTGGACAATCACTAAAGACAGTGAAAATAGAATGGAAGCAACAGAAATATGGTTACAGAAATATGGTTTCTTAGGAGACTGCTAAGAGTATCATGGAAGGAAAAGAAATCAAATGAGGTAGTGCGTAATGAAGCCCACGTGGGACGCTCACTGTTAAAAACAATCAGGAAACGACAAATGCAGGTTTTGGGACACCAGAACAGACATAAGGGTCTTGAACATCTAGCTCTCACTGGCAAAATTGAAGGCAAGCGAGGCAGGGGCAGGCCCAGAGCAACTTACTTGGGGAACCTGAACAAGTGGGTGACAAGGAAAGGTCAGGGAAATGTAGCTTTTTTAAGAGCATCCGAGCAAAGGAATGAATGGAGAACCACGATTGCTGATGTCTGTCACAGATCTGGCACTGGATGATGATGTGAAGCCACAGGCATACCTAGCTTTTCCAGAGTTACACATTCAAATAAGATCATAAAATGATACTGGCAAATGAGCAGTGACAGGTTTAAAGTCTCCTGATACTCCCATATTCTCAGGGCAAGTTGCTACCTTAGATATACAAAGTTCTATCCGAGATTTTTGGCTGTTTTCAGTTACTCAGACCATGAGGTGAGAAACCAAAATGTTCTATCTTCTCTATCAAAATCGTAAGATTATTTGGAGTCTTTATCAAGGTATTCAAAGAATTTCATTTTAAAAAGCTTGACATTTCGCAAAACTCAAAACTTTTCATATCAAATTTCTCAAAACTAGGTTCCGAGCGGATAGAACGTTGTAATTGTACGGCAACGAAGTGTCACAATAAATAAAAATTTTCTGACCTTTTCTTTGCTGAACAGTCTTTTCTTCTCCAATGTAAGAACACCTTTGTAAACAGATCCATATTCTCCTGTTCCCAGCTCACATCCTGAAACAAAACAATATAGAACTGGATATACATATGACACTTCCATTTAGAATTTTGTTATTCCAGCTGCACACTAAAAGAACATTAAAATGGAGAAAGCGTGAGCTGAAAAAGAAAAAAAAAGGAATGCAAGGAAAAGAGAAAAAACAGCTTACCAGAACAAAAATCATGTACAGGATATAATTTCTCAATCAATAATGATGCATGCCCATAAAGCAATAATCTCTGAAAAGATGCTGCTTCCTTTTTATTTGCTTAAGGTCGCCATTTAAAATAATTTCTTCTTCCTCATTTTGTGAGTGACAAGTCCATTGTAGAAAAACCAAGTTGATGAAATCACAAACAGTTACACACATCAAAACATGACCAACCTCGGGTGTGTGGAAAATATAGACAATAACTTTGGTGCTACAATTTGTAAAAAGTATGGTACCATTTGGCTTGGCTTGAAGTTAATATTGTGATAGCATTTCGTGTGTGTGTGGCGGACTCAACTTGTGAGGGATTTTTTGGGTACAAAAAAGAATACTTCAAAGAAAATTATCTATTCTCATGACTTTTTCCTAGATGTCTGTGTCAACTAGAAAAGGAATGGATTCTAACAGGAAAATTGGTTTGCAAGTACAATTTATGAGGCAGCGTGGTGAAATGAGGCGCTCGTTGAAATAATGAAATTGAAGAAACTGGCATTTATCTGCCAGTTTGGTAATTTTTATTGAATTTTTGTTTTTTGGCTTAACACTATTTTGTCCAGTTAAACACACATTTCTGGGTAAATTTTACTGAAAAACGTTGATTAAAGGAACAAAAAATGTAAGTTCTCAGTTTCCATGGACTATCAAGCTACGGAGAACCTTTGAAACCAGGCGACCCCATCTTCTCCAATCTCAAATATCTTGACTTCTAATCAAAATAGATGGGAATTTTTTTCTCCAATAGCAAGACAATCGAACAAGTGTTAGGATCATACCAATAACTCCACATGTCCAAAAATTGACGAGCGCCTGATTACACCACATTGTGACACACATTTGTTTATTTCTAAGCACACTTATTTTTTTTTCATGAGTATATTTGTGTCATTTTTACGTGCCCTTGTGCAAGAATGTTGCATGTGTTTCTATGCCATTGTAGGCTACTATGTTTTGTAAAGCACACGGTTTGTTATGGTAAGCTAAACATAGATAATGATTTAACTTAAAGACAAAAAAATTAAGCAATTTTCATTATCAAGTGTACATTTACATACTGCAATGAACACATACTTCATATTCAATAAATCCACGCAGGGAGGCACACACAGATGTACATGAGGAAAAGAACACCAGTGTTAAGAAAAATTTGATTACTCACAATACTTACCAACTTTAAGGTTCTTTTTACTGATCTCTTTCAAAGTCTCTTTTTCTTCTTGTTGCTGAGAGGAGAAAAAAAGGGACACGATTTTGCTTCTGTTCAGGATATTCTTTTCATATAAGCATTAAAACAGATTATAATCTTCACAACAACTGCAGTCAAAAAATGGGAAAGATATCAAATCAACTTGCAGCACTGTACCATTCCAAATGAAATTTAGCAAAGAAAAGCAAATTACTCCTCCTGCAAGAGACCAATTTTGACATACCACCTTTCAATGTCTTAATTCTTTCTTCAAGTATCAGAGGAAAAAGAGAAGGTAAGGGTTTAATGGCCTTCTTTTCGAACTAAGAAGTCTCTGTAAATCTCTGACTTAATTTTTTACACTTTTCAACGTAAAGACTTTTTTTCATTCACGCTAGTCCAAAAAAAATTACAATTTAGCATTGCCGACAGGTTACAACGTCCGTTCTTTTTTGAGTCTCAAGAGCAGAAATGCATGCTTTGGGAGCACTAAATGAGAATTACCATAAATACAAGGATACACCTAAAATTGTACGTTGAAAAGTACCAAAAATTAAGTCGGCCCAGACAGAGCGGCGACAGGGAGCTGACCCCAGTGACCCCGACGTGATAAGGCGCTCAGCGGGGAACCCCCCGCGGCAACTAAAATTCCACTGCCGGTGCGCCGTGTCAACCATCAAAGTAATTTGTGTCTATCAGGGTGACTCAATTTTCCAGGGGCATGTTACATAACAAGGGCAACCAATGCTCCATTTATATATATATATATATATATATTATTACACATATACAAACGCACACACACACATGTGGGTACATTATATCCAGTCAACAACATGTCAGTGTGGCACTGGGATACTGTGACTTAGGTATTTCAGTCTGTTCTAACTTATGTATATTTTCCCCTCATCATATTCGCCTATAAAACTATATAAAAATTAATCCTGTTTTGAGCCTGAAAAAGAGCCTAGAGCCAGAAAATAAACTGTCAAGAACCAGTCTGGTTGTCATTATGATTTATAAAAAACGTGAAAGAAAAAAATTATTGCTCAAACTAAAAATAGAGTAATAACTTGAATGGATCAGGTAGACCAATTCAGTGTGAGAGGTGAAAGAACTGTGGGAGTTCAAGATGCAGTGACACTGAAAATCTGTGAATCTTGAAGAGACAGCTAAAGTAGTATACAATAGCCTACATGTAATTTACTATCACTCATCCAATAAAACGCAAACCCTTTAGTTTTAAAAAACACAGCTTACAAGGTATGAGTATAAAAGATCCCGATTCTACACAAGGCCTGCACCAACGCCCGCTTTGCAGAGAGCTCTTGTAATAATGAAAATTCAGTACTAAAAGTTGCTTCCAAGTTCAGCTTTTGTCATCGGTGTTGCCTTCATCCCCCCCCCCCC